AAAAAAAAAAAAAAAAAGATGAAATAAAAATAAATCTGTAGTCCCAAGTAGGAAGCTGAGGCAGGAAGATCGCTTGAAACTAGGAGTTTGAGGCTGCAGTGAGCTATGATCACAACTGTGAATAGCCATTGCACTCCAGCCTGGGCAACAGATCTCTGAAAGCAAAAGAAAAGAATGGTTACAAATAAATGTATCTTGCAGGGTGGTCCTGAGGAACACTGATGGTGTTAGAGAACATCTGATTCAGGGTGTGATGTACATGGGGCTTTTAGCTGATGGGCTAGGTAACTGGGTGTGAGACTGCAAAGCCAGAGGGAGCCGGCATATGTTTTTTTTGTTTCCTTTCTTTTTTTTTATTTTGAGATGGAGTTTCGCTCTTTATCGCCCAGGCTGGAGTGCGATGGCACGATCTCGGCTTACTGCAACCTCTGCCTCCCAGGTTAAAGCGATTCTCCTGCCTCAGTCTCCCAAGTAGCTGCAATTACAGGCATGTGCCACCACAATAGGCTAATTTTGTATTTTTAGTAGAGACGGGGTTTCTCCATGTTGGTCAGGCTGGTCTCGAATTCCCAACCTCAGGTGATCCGCCTGACTCAGCCTCCCAAAGTTCTGGGATTACAGGTGTGAGCCACCAGGCCCAGCTGAGCCGGCATACCTTATATGAAGCTGTGGCAGGGACAAGTGGCTGGGTGCCGACACAAGTGTCCAGAGTTGTCCTTCTGCCCAGCCAGGGAGGCCGGAGGAACTGATCTGGGAGGCAAAGGGTGCAACTCAATTGATCCAAATATATATGTCCACTCACTGACACGGGAGGTGTTCCAAGCAGAGGGCAGGAGGGCAGCACCAGCGAGGGCTCCTCAAGCATTGTCATCCAGGCCTGCAGAGAGAATGGAAGGGTTTTTAGGCAGGGGAGATACAAAGTCATTGCAATCTGTAATTTAGGAGCATCCCCTACTCTGTGGAGATGGGTTAAGGGGAGTAGGAAAGGGATTGGGAAGCCACTGTGGCTGGGGAGAAGAAAGCAGGGTGTAGGCCGTGGGAGGAGTGGGGAGGAAGGGTCTGAAGTGCTGCCCATCTCTGGCTGGGTCCCTGTCACTGGGTGGCAGGGAGCAGGGTCTTGGGTATGGTCTGGAACCAGAGGACATGCACTTGTGGTCATAAGGCTGGGGGAAAAGACCCCAGGGCCCTGGACCAAGTCAGTGCTTGAGGTGTTGACAGGAAATTTCGGTGGAGGGCTCAGGGGCCCATGAGGTCAGGAGGCTCTAGACAAGAGAGCCCCAGAGACACCAGAGGAAAAGGAACTCGAGAGGAAGATGGAGGAGCAAACAGAGGGAGGGGAAGTGGGCAGGAGGTGCAGCTCCCCCAAGAGGGGTGGCAGCTCTCTTGGGAAGATGAGGACAGAGCCCCAGGGAGGTCTGGGGTTGGCCAAGGGAGCCTGCAGTTTCTTTGTGGGTGCGGGGGCCTCAAGGGATGGGAATCTGAGCTGTGCGTGTGTTTGGACAAGTCCCCAGGGTGTGTGTCTTCTCGGGGTTCCTAGACGCAGGGTGGCAGCGGCCCGGCGGTGGCGGAGGCCGTTTGGATCCCTGTGTGAGCTGTAGGGGGCGCCCTGGGCGCCGGGCCCAGGTCAAGGGCGAGATAGGAACGGGGTGCGGGGGCCGATGAGAGCTCCCCGCGGGAATGTCCCGGTGTGGACGCCCTCGGAGGCCCCATCTAACTCCAGGGCGGCGAGGGTGGCCGGGCCCAG